TTCTGGCAATCTCTTCTTGAAATGCCTTCATCTGTTCAAGCATCCAGTCAAGCTGATGAACGATTTCATCTTTATTTCTTCTCAAATTTCCATCACCGACATAGTTTCCATTTCTTTCTCCCAGAGTATGAGATTGTGATCTTTGTACTTGATGTAAGTCATTTGAATTTGCATTTCTATTCAAATTCATTGTTTGATTATTTTGCTGTTGTTGTGTTTGATTATTTTGTTGTTGTTCTGTTTGTTGTTGTTGTTGGAGAAGTAGTTGATTAATAAGTAATGTTTTTAGATCTTCGATTGATTTGTTGTTCAAGTTTTGTAATGGCTCATTAGTTTCTGGAGGTTGCTGTGTGTCAGTATTCGGTCTTGGATGAGAATCCTTTTTAGATGAGAGAAGCTTGATGTATGAAGGTAAGTCTGTTTTACAAATTGGACACTTTTGTTGTTGGCTGATCCATCTTTCAATGCAGTCGAGATGGAAACAGTGTCCACAAGGAAGTTTCTTCGAATCACTTTCACTCATAGTTCCTCTGCAGATAATACATGTGGAATCTTTTGTGAGATCTTCATGCGATGGTGCTGGAAGTACTACACGGAGGTCATTTAAGAGTTTATAATATTGAATTAATGACATCACTTTTGTGATGAGTTTCCATAAATTAGCAATAATATTGAAAATCATGAATGCGTGTAATCCAAATGAACATCGGACAACAAAATGACCGAAGAAAATAATGTTTACCATAAGACGAGAAATTTCAGTCAATGTTTCTGTTGTCAAATTTATTTTACATGAACTTTTTGAATTACCAAAATTCCTTCGATCTACAATAAATACGATATGTTGAATGATATTTTTAATGATGGCTGGAAGAGAAAGAGAAATCTGTCTAGAAAGGAGAATGAGAATCTGTGATCCATTTTGATGATAATATGAAAGAAAACGTACGAGTAAATAGAATGTTGAAAATAGCAAAATGATTTGTCCTTTCATAACTCGTTTGTGTACTTCAAGCTTTGGCGTTTCGGCTGTGACATAAAATAGGTTGATTTTATTATCGACGAAAAACAAAATGTAGGGAAGGAAAATCGCGATCATGACATAACCGATATGCCTCTTTTCGAGTTCTGTGGAAAGAAATATCATATTGAAAAATAAGCTGGATCCTAGATCGCCTAAGAATTCTGGAATTTTTTGCTTGTCGTTTTTGAATGACCCAAAGAAAAATAAAATAAGAAGGTTCACCGATAATAGAGTAAGCGCGACGAAAAAGTTAATGGTAAATAGGGAATAAAATTTATTGGTTATTAGCGAAACGCTGGCTTCGTAAAGATTTTCATATTCGAGGTATGACCTTGCGGCAATACTGAAAAAGCTTACAATCGAAAGAGCAATGTAGATGTTCAAAATAAGAAACATTTTTTATATTTAGCCAAAGAATATCAAATTGACCTTATACTTTGACTAACCGTATTTATCATTCAATTTTTTGAAAGGTATTGAATTTGACAAAAATGTCGAAAATCATTAGGAACACACATAGGGCTATTATAAGAATCTCAATATAGTATTCTAATTATTTTTTTTAGAATTGCTAGATCAACAATGTATTCTGATAATTCAAAAATCCAATATAAAGTTTTCCTTCATTGACTTGCTCAATCAAGTCAACTTTTCATTATGTGCTGTTTAATATTATTTCACTCTCATCACATTTTATCATAAAATGAAGAATCGTTTCATTAATAAAAGGGATATGTTTTTCTTTATTAATACAAAAGTAGCAAAACTAATGCTATAGTTTTTCTTTATTATCATAAAAAATATAAATATAATATTCGATTCAAACTCATACTCAAATTCAACATGAATAAGATCTTATTCAAAAGAGTCTGTTCCCGCGTATGCTGGACATACCAAAAACAATGATCGTCCAGTCTCAGCAAACTGTGTTCCCACTCCATCGTCGCTTGGCATTACAAATTTGTTTGGCTGAATGAAAACAAAATTCTCTGCCTTTTTGGTATTCACACCAGAATCAGATTTAGTTTCAGTTTCAGACTCGGGCTTAGATTTGGATTCAATCCAACCAAGTTCATTTTCAATTGCAGTTACAACGGCATCACCTTCACCTAAGAGTTCAGCATTGAATTGGCATGAAACAGGTTCTCTGTTTATGAGAATGCTTGGCACTTTATACATCATTTCAGGAATATAAGAAACTGGTGCAACACGGAGTGATGTTCCAATAACGATTAATAAGTCTGCATTTTTTGAATCATATTCTATATCTTCATCTTCAATGTTTGTTCGTTGTCCAAAGAAAACAATTCCAGGTTTGATTTGTCCACCACACTTTTTGCATTTCGGAATTGTTTGATTATTTACACATTCTCTTAAATCTTCAATATCATGAATTTCGCCACATTCCAAACATTTGTTTTCACGCCATGATCCATGCACACATCTCAACTTTTCATTAGGAATACCAACTTCAAGCGTGTCAACATTTTGTGAATACACGCGTAATAATTTTCCACGTTTTTCCAGTTCTGCAAGGAAGTAATGGGCCTGTGAATGCTCTGGATCTGTTGATGGATAGATCAAATGAGCAAACCGCCAAAAAACTGAAGGGTCGCGAACGAAATATTCCATATCGAAAACTTTGTAGGGATCATCTAAAGCGCCGGATTTGGCAATCTGGTCGTATAGCCCACCCGGTGATCGAAAATCTGGGCCGACAGAAGCGCCTGCGCCGATAACTGCAACGATTTTCGTAGATTTCTCAATCAACTGCATAACTTCGTGAATCGATTTGATGTATGTGCGTTGGTAGTGATGTCTTCTGCGACTTTCTTTAAGAATATTTAAAATGATTACCCATAAATCTGAATCGAGCATGTTTTCTGGAAATTGTGAGACGTCAATTCCAAGTTTTTCCATGACTTCTCTTGGCGGTTGCTCTCTTTGGATAGCTTTAATTACAAAATCTTCAACTGTGTTCATATTCCGGAAATCCTTTTTTTTGTGACCAAAGGTCAATATGAACATCAATATTTTGACCATATTTTAACCATTCATACATTTATAAATGGTCAATTCATCATTGAAAAGTTATGGTAAAGTGATTGAAAAAATATTAAAAGTGAAGTTCAATGAATGAAGAGGAGTTAAATACTTGGAAAGTCGTTCTTCAAAATTCCTCAAAATCTCTTGTTCTCTACAATTCTTCACTTCAACAAATTCGAACAGTTGCACAAACTGGTGCTACTATTGACGTTCCAATTCCTTGGACATCGACAAATTATTTCCAAATTCTCGCCGATCATTTTTGTGGGGCTCCATGTCTCCCTTTATCTTTATCTGATTTTGTTACCAACGGCTATTTCGATCGCTTCTTTCCAAAAAGGACCAAAATTGGAAGCGGTGGATGTGGAAGTGTCTATCGAGTTGAACATAGTTTGGCTGGAATCAAACTAGCCATTTATGCAGTCAAAGTTATACCAGTAGGTGAATTCACGTGGCTCCAGCGAGTGATTAACGAAGTCAGATTATTAGAAAAATTATCAAAAATACCGCATCCTTTAATTTTAGGTTATAAGCATTGTTGGATAGAGGAGTGGCAGCCTGCCAACTTTGGACCAAAAATTCCATGTCTATTCATATTAATGGAATTCGCACCACTTGGAAATGTTGAGAATATGATTTCTACAAAAATTCCAGGAATTTTCAGAAAAATCAACGAAGATGAAGCATGGCAAATTTTTATTAATATTATTGTTGCTGTCCAACATCTTCACTCTCTTGGAATCATTCACAGAGACTTAAAATTATCAAATGTTTTAATTTTTGAAGAGAAAAATAATCATCCTCTTCCAATTAGACTTGCCTTATCCGATTTTGGAACTGCGCTTGACACTCATAGTATTTTCAATATTCATGCATCAAGGTCAGGCGCGACTGGAACAGTTGAAACAATGGCACCTGAGCTTTTCATTCATGATGAAAAAGGGAAATATTTGTTTTCACATTCTTTCGCAAGTGATATTTGGTCACTTGGTGTGATTTTGTTTTCATTATTTTACCACATAAATCCATTTTTTTATGACAATGGTGAACAAAGATTACAAAATTTCACAACAGTTGATGATTTAATTGCCGATATGAAATTGACAACTGAAATATCACCTTTAGCCATGAAAATTATTCAGAAAACAATGGTTTTAGATCCTAAAAAACGTTGTACAGTTGAAGATATTTTGAATAATCCGAAAATCTTTGAAAAAGCTTCTGAATTGGGATTAAATAACCTGTTAAAAAATGATATTTCTAGACCATTTGTTATTTCACCTTCTGATGATGACCTGAAGACTTCCGTCCCAGTGCATTCTCCAGAAAATAGTCACAATAAAAAAAATAAATTTCAAAAAATCACAGAATATTTCAAAAAAGAAATTGAAAATGGAAGGAATGATTTTATTATAAATGATGTTGATGATGAAAGTAGTGCTAATGATTATCCAAATATCTCACTTTTGCTAATTTCAATATTAATTTTATTATCTGCCAAGACTGGATCAACATTTATAAGCTGTATTCGATTTATTTTTTATATAACTCTGCTTGTAACTGGTAGGAATCATTTCGGAATTCCTCTCCTTATTTTTCTTCTGTTTACTTCAGAAATGGCCTTAGGGATTGTTTCCATTTCAATTTTCCATCTAGTTCTGCTTGGATATACTCTATCATTCGTGATGAGTTCTGAAATGGAAATGATGCAACAACTGGCTTTGCCAGCTTTAACCATTAGTTAATAAATGTAAAGTATACGGGTTAATCGATTTAATTTTCATTATTGTAATCAACAAATTTATTCAGGTTAATTGAAAATATATTTTTATAACGATGAGAACAAAAATTGATGATTTAATGATCATCAAAAATTCATTTTTTCACTTGAAATCACAACAAAAAACAAAAATATGATTAAGAAAAAAAATGGTTGCCGTGGGGATCGAACCCACGCCCTTTCGGACACGCGCCTGAAGCGTGCGCCTTGGACCACTCGGCCAGACAACCGTTTGATTTTCTTAATTTTGGACTATATTCGATTATCATAAAATCTCTTTCGGACAAAACGCCAGCCTTCTTTCTTTTGAAATTTTTGAATGCAAGCGATGTCTTGATTGACCAATTTAATTGTTTGATGTCTTCAAGCACTGATACCAACGAGTCACAGAACAGAATCGCCACAAATCCTGGTCCAGCATCTCCAAAGCAGAAACCCGCCTTATTTTCTCCAAAAAAAATTACACCAGAATTAACACCGAAAAAGGGAATGAACTTTGATGTTGCTGCTGGCCGAGCCCCTTACGACGATCAATATCCAATCTCCGATTACGTCAAACTTTCGAATAATAACTATCGATCTCCACATAAGGGTAATCGCCCCAATAGAAACGTTTCAATCTCCAGCGACAACCTCAAGGGACAGGCTGCAGGCGGCCACGCCTACATTCCCCGCAAATTCTCCTCCGATAATATTCATGCCGACGATCAACAGGGAGGAGGAAACCGTCCCTACCGGACAAACAGTGGAAACAGCCCAAGAGGAAACAATAACAATAATAACAACAACAATAACAACCTCAACTTTGGTAAAGGCAACAATAATAATTATCAAAGAAATAATCAAAGAAACAATCAAAGAAACCAGCAAAATAACAACACAAATAATAATAATAATAACAATGGCCCAGGCCACAACAAGCAGAAGCCAACCAGGTCTGTGAGTGGTGGCTTCGCCAAATTTGCACCTGGAAGCCGAAGTCAGGATCTCCAAAATCCCTCTCAGGACATTCATGACTTCAAGCCGAACCCTAAAAAAAATGTTGAGTAAATCATAATTTTCACCCATATTTATCATGTTTTTTATTTTCATTGATTTTCTCATCTTCATGATTTTTCTGTAGATTGAAGGCTTATCGAACAATGGGCGGTCCCATTTCTTGAGTGATTCAAAAGCTTTTAATATTAAACAGATCAAATCCTAAATATTGATTATTTTTCTACTCTTAAGCTTTAATTGAAAAAAATGATTTCTGTGAAAACAAAGAAATATGCCTAAGCAAATTTGTTTAACTTACGATGCATTACAGTATTGCCATGTATTTATGAATAATATATATTATCTTCTTTGTATTCTTTGTCGTTAAATTACAAAATTATCAGCCAATTCATAAAAAAAAAGCAAACTTCATTAGTGTTAAGTTTCAAAAGAGAGAAAATAAAAATATAAAGAATAATATTCATAAAGTTTGATCGATTAATGGTTTAACAATAAAAACAAATCCACGCAATCCTAATTCTGATGAACAAATGATTAATACAAATAGTTATATAACATACTCAAGTGTGACCAGTTTTACAGTGAACACTTTTTGTTAATTTGACTTTTCATTTGACCTTAGATGTTCACGGTAAAACCAGCAATATTTAAATATTACTAAATAAAGTGAAAGAACTGATATCAAATATCTGAATTTGAAGTGACACTCATTGTTGTTGTTTCATCTGTTTCAAATGACGACAAAAGATTTGGAAAACTCGGCTTATCATCATATTCTTGATCATTGTATGAAGATGAATAATCTGATTCAGACATTGTGTAGCTAAGTGAGTATCTTTCACTAAAAGAGTCAGAATCCAGTTTTTTCTGACGCACAGAAGATTTCCCATCAGAAGCAGGCTTTTCTTTCTTTCGCTTATCAGGACGAGGAAAAGCAGCTGGTTGATATATATAACATGGTGAGATGAATAGCGATAATGAAACAATGTACGAATTGCCATAAGAATGTAAATCTAAAACTTGTGATATGGTGTCTAATGGACTTTTCATGCTGTAGCTGATGAAGCTGTGTAAATATCCTTTTTCTTTCGATGGCGTAAAAATGCCAATAGAAATTTGAATACTTGGTGACGGCTCAATAAATGAAGTGAATCCTGAATCATAAAATCGAAATCTTTTTTGGATTGTTCGAGGATGTAAAATGAAAAGGTGACCATTCACGGAAACGATTAAACTCTGCTTACCAAGGTGATCACCCTTAACTGTATTGACGACAAAAGATACCTGATTGGAAATTGGCTGGTTGATAAAATAGTCTTTCTTTTTCGCCTTCATTTCTTAAACGTTTAGATTTTTCGTTCAAAAAGTTTATCCCTAAATCATTTTATCAAGGTTGGTCTGTGCGGTTTTAAGGCGAAAATATTCGCAATTTATTCGCCTTTTTCTATTTCATCGAATTCTATTGAATTTCATCGAATTTCAATTATTTCAATGTGTTGTGGTTGTAATTTATTTTGTCGATATACCAACAAATCTTCTTCCTATTGTTGATATTAAGGAATCGCGAAATTGACAATCCATTTAAGAATTCTGATTTACCAATAGAGTCTGTCGACTCAAAAAAAAATTATTATGAATTGGATCCACTAAAAAATTAGAAATAAACAAAACATATTATTTAAAAGTTAACCCAAGAAAAAAATTTATATTTATATATAACTTAAAAAACCTTAATTATCTATGATGCTCCAAAAGGATATCATCAATGTGAATAAACACCAAATATTTCATTTATTCACGCTCCTTGTGAGACTAAATTCACTTCACATCAGGAAATAAATCTTCTTTTATCTCCTGAAGGGGCCGTGGCGGCAGTGACCAATTATGTTGAAGCGGGTGGCCTGTTATTTGCTTATCATCCTGTGCTTTGGCCGATGGGCTTTTGTCTGCTGATAGTGCCTGTTCGATCCACGCTATACAATCATGAATTCTCCCCGCTGATAGATATGTTCCGTATTTGCGCCTCATTGCACCATTCCAGTGGTGGTACAGGCTTGAGGAGCTTCTTTCGTTGCCGGTCACTTTTCTGAATGTCTGCCAGAAGGACCAGGGGACGCGTCCGTGGAAGGCTGTTCCATAGTAACTGTTGATTGTTTTGAATATTATTAAATCGTCTTCAAGAGTGTACTGAGGTGTCTTCGAGGTGCCACTGCAGCTTGATTTATTCGCGTTCGCAATTGAATTGTTATCGGAATCGTCGTTTGGAAGAAATCCATCACCAGAATCGTTGTCTTCGTCAGCGCTGAGACAGAAATCAAGGTTCACGATTTTCATATCAGGCATGAGTGAGTTGATAGGTGGAAATCTGATTCGTTGAAGTTGTTCCATTGCTGGAATGTTTTGCATCTATTTTTTGTTTTCCTAATTTTTATGCTGTGAAAAAATTAAAAGAATGCTGTACTTTTTATACACATTTTATGTGAATTAGTTTGAAAATTTTCTTACTTTTATGAGCTTTTTAAAATTTATGCTTGTAATTTATGCAATGATTATCAGAATTATTTGAATGAAAATAGAATTTTGAAGTAAAATAGGATATTGAATTTCGAATGAAGTTTCATAGAAATTTGAAATAATGCTGCACGATTTTTAACAACATTGAGGCGTTTCTAAAATAATATTAAAATGTCAATAAAAGAAGACAGCACATAAAAAACATTGAAAATTTTCGTGTTATTTGCATTCAATTTTCATAATGATTCTTCTTAGAAGATATCATTCAAAAAGCGAGAAATTTGTGGGGAGCGATAATAATATAAAAAGTAATTTGTTTATTCGATTTATTTTCCATGGTTGTGAGATTTTTCCTAGTTTTCATAATTTTCTTTACATAATGCATAACTATCTTTCAAGAAGAGTTGCGAGATTTCATAAATAATGTCATACGATTTCCAAGAAAACTCAAAAAAATACGAAAGTTTTTCAATATATTATTGAATATATCTATTGAATTTTGGAAATTGGTCTTAAAATTGTAAGAAATATCGTTGTGAACTTTTCATCATATTCCTCTAAACCATACAAAACTTTAGTTTATTTCCAACACAATTTCAATTGGTTATAAAATTATTACAACTAAGTTCATGAATTTTGAATTAGCAACGATTTGCTTTTTATCTTATGTAAAAAAAACACATGATGACGATAATCATAGAATTTCCCCAACGTAATTTTATCATTTAGCTCATGGCTAGATATATATCAGCAAATATCATAATGAAAAATTGTGGTTCTGATGCTAATTTATTTCGCCTTTTGTGGTTTTATTTTCAATGCCTTTTCAATTTTTTGGCAGTCAAAAAAAAAAAACGAAAAAAAATTATTTAAATCCTGTTAAGGATGTAGTCCCATGCCGTTAACTATTAAAAAAATTGAATATGTGATGATGATGATGTTTCAGATGGGTATTGAAATATTTGAGATATCTCAGAATTATTTTGAAACAAACATGCACAAAAAGTGAATAATTTTTTCTGATGAAATCACAAAAAGCTGTCAGTCGCCCTCAAAAAGTAATAGATCTCCCTTAAAAAGTATTTTTAAGATTTCAATATAATCACCTCTGTAAACATCTGAAAAAAACAGTGACTATTCAAAAAGTCATTTTTTTAAAATCAGATTTTCCGTAAGCTTCTTCAAACCCAATCCAAAATGAAGAAACATGGATTAATCTTGAAAGATAGCATTTAAATGGTCATTTAAAATCGTTTGTGTGATGACTAAATCCAACTGAAGCAGAAAAAAAAAAAAAAAATATGATTAGTCATTACCATGTCTACTAATATCATTGAAAAATATTTACAAAACTCAATCACCATCCCCAAAGATTCTCAGCGACTTAAATTCATATTCCAATTGGTGATATTGATTTCGTCATTCTAAATTTACCAAAAGATTCTGATATTTCTAATATTTTAAGAACATTAACAAAACTCTTTTTAAAATCAAAAATGATTTCTAACTATAAAATAATTGATAATGCTAATGTTCCAATAATTAAACTGTTAGAATGACCCT